TGAGACACAGAGACAGAGAGAGGTAGAGATAGCGAGAGAGAGAGAGAGAGAGACAGAGAGAGAGAGACAGAGACAGAGACACAGAGACAGACAAAGACAGAGAGAGAGAGAGATAGAGACAAAGAGAGAGAGAGACAGAGAGAGAGACAGAGAGAGAGAGAGACAGAGAGAGAGTGCTGAACATTGAGGGGAGCAGCTAAGGGGTGTCTGCTGTTAACTCTTCATCAGAAAGCTTTCAAAGTGTCCCCACAGGCCAGCACTCACTTCCCGGGAGCTCGATATGGAGTAAAGCTCCCTCTACACTGTCACCCCTCCATCAAACACTCCCAGGGACAGGGACAGCACAGGGTTAGATACAGAGTAAAGCTCCCTCTACACTGTCCCCCCCATCAAACACTCCCAGGACAGGGACAGCACGGGGTTAGATACAGAGTAAAGCTCCCTCTACACTGTCCCTACTCCATCAAACACTCCCAGGGACAGGGACAGCACGGGGTTAGATACAGAGTAAAGCTCCCTCTACACTGTCCCCCCCATCAAACATACCCAGGGACAGGGACAGCACGGGGTTAGATACAGAGTAAAGCTCCCTGTACATTGTCCTGCATTCCTGGTTTGGATCCTCCACTGGGAATGTTATGGACTCTCAGTCAGTGCCCCTCACTCTCCCGACTCGATCCCAACCTGAGCTAACCACAGCTGATGCCAGCCTTTGCTATTCTCGCTTTCTCTCTGTGTTAATCATCGACGCATCCTTTTCTCAAGTGGATGTCAGAGGGTCACCGATACATCTGGACAGGGTGGTCCATTCTCCTGCTTCTGTGCTCTCTCTCCCTCAACACTTTGCGTCTCCGGTCTCCTCTCTCTCTCTCTCTCCACGTTGACCAAATACCCTCACCCCTGGTCCCCCAGTTGACCCCCTCCTGCCCCCTCTCCAAGGCTATGTCTTCAGTTGGGCTGTTTATTTCTCTCGTCCCAGGTTGGAACCTCCTTCTTCAGATCAACCCGCAAGCCTTTGGAGGACCGACGTCACTCATCTCTGAGCCAGGAGGCCGCTGGGCAGTGCAGCTGGGAGAGGCAAGTTGTCCTTTGCTTTTTGGATTCCTCAGTGTTTGAAAAAACAGTTCCCCCCGACCCCGCCGCGCTCCCCTCCCCTCCCAATGGAGGAACTTGACTCTGCGGGATCGGGGAACGCTGGGGAGAAGTTAAACTCCAAAAGGTCAGGGGCAAAACAGAGAACGAGAGGGCCTGATGCCAGAAGTCTAGGCCTCAGGCCTGCTAGGTAGCCTTTCCTGGCACTAGGCCGCAAACACGGCTCCATTTCCAAAGCTGGGTTAATTCATGGGATGTGGGTGTCACAGGCTGGGCCCAGTATTTATTGCCCCGTCCCTAACTGCCTCCTGAGAAGGTGGTGTGGAGTTTCCGGAATGTCTCGGGGTTCTGAGCAGTTTTGTCTCATCCTAGCCAAGGGTCATTTGCCCCTGAAGGCCAAGGTTGGAGACACAACAAAAACTGAACTCTCCTCCTGTTCCTCCGGCCTGTCCCGACACTTTCCTGATGGATGTTCCTGGAATTATGGCACGATTCCCAGAGGCTAGGCAGGGGGAAGGCACGTTTCCAGAGAAACACTGTCCTTACCCCATTACTCCGTCTTTTTATCCCCACTCCCAAGTTTCACATCTGTTTTGGGCTGGCGCGGTGGCTCAGTGGTTAGTACTGCTGCCTCACGGCGCCAGGGACCCGGGTTCAATCCCCACCCTCGAGTGACTGTCTATGTGGAGTTTGCACATTCTCCCCGTGTCTGCGTGGGTTTCCTCCGGGTGCTCCGGTTTCCTCCCACAGTCCAAAGATGTGCAGGTTAGGGTGGATTGGCCGTGGGAAATTGTCCCATAGTGCCCAGGGATGTGCAGGTTAGGGTGGACTGGCCGTGGGGAATGTGGGGTTACAGAGGTAGGGTAGGGTAGGGGAATGGGTTGGGGTGGGATGCTCATCAGAGGGTCAGTAGGGACACGATGGGCTGAATGGTCTGCTTCCACGCTGTAAGGATACTATGACTCTCAATTTGAAGTGTGCTCCCTATTGTCATGTAGGAAACGTAGCACAGCAAGATCCCATGTGCAGCAATGTGGTGGGAACGACCCAGATCATCTGTGTTGGTTGAGCTATAAATACTGGCCTCAGGACCCTGGGGAGAGCACTCCCCTGGCTCTTCTTCCAATGCTGGCTGTGGTATCATTTACACCCTGCTGAAAGACAGCACCTCCCACAGTGTGGCACTCCCTCAGCACTGACCCTCCCACAGTGCCCACTCCCTCAGCA